GAGCAACTCTGGGGCTCGAATGAAAACAGCTCCTCAGTCCTCTAAATCAACGCAAAAGACTTTTGCGCGCTCAACTGCTCATTATGCACTTCCAACGCTACAACTGTATGAAATGTGTCCGTAATTTGCGGATCTAGTCTAAGATCATGCATTCGTCCTGCTTTTTGCCTGAAAAGGTGCTCACAGCATGCTGATCAGGACAGATATTTGCCAGAAAATGATTGTGTTTTCCAGAGAAACATATTTCATAGAGACCCTGTAGAGGCCTTCATTTTTGTGCCCCACATGATAAATGTACACAGACAAAGATTTAAGTCCCATTTCAACAGGTGCGGGCTCGTCCGGGATTTGAACCCGGGACCTCTCACACCCGTAGCAAGAATCATGCCCCTAGACCAACGAGCCACCAGAGGCTGGTTTGCAGGGGGACAAAATGGACCAATATCCGTTTGGACAAAAGGCATGAAGTTGAAGATGATTTTGACACTGGAAAGTTTGCCAGCCAGCATTGTTATAAGCTGCAGACAATTTGAGGGTTGGGTGGGACTGACAGAGAGGCACTTGGGAGACATGCACTTGTGCATCTGACTGTTGAAACCGTTTGTGCCAATGACCTCCTACTCCTTCCACATGTGACGGGCTCGTCCAGGATTTGAACCCGGGACCTCTCGCACCTTAAGCGAGAATCATACCCCTTGAACAACGAGCCACAATCTCTCGCAACAAAGACAACTCTAGCAGAGTTCCATTTGATCCAAAATCCTCACGCAGACCCCTAGCTTTCACTTTCAAAGTCTTGGCTTACTGAAATGCAAACTGAAAGGGTTCACACACAGCTGCAATTGAGAAAAAGGAGGCTTGGATCTGCACTAAATCATCAACGTGGATGCACACAGCTACAGGCTAAGAGCCCGTTGCTTAAGCCAAGAGCAACATTTGACCCATTTTGGTACCCAGACATGTCCTCTATCACATCCATGGCATCGTCACACTTGGACCTTTGTGAGAGGATCGTTCTTTAACGACCCCTTGGCTGGGATCATTTGGATCGTTAGGATATATGCCAAGACAAACAATAGCACTCTGATGCTACGACAAGTGTGAAGCGATCGTCTGGGAGAAGTGGTTGCAGCTCTACTCATATTGAAAGCAGGTGCCTTTGCTTTGCAACATGATGCCACTGTACCTTGTCCAGGCATTTGACTACCTTAATTCTGAGAGTTTTGTCCATCTTTCAGCACCAGGTGGGTTGACCCTTTCTTCCAATCCAAGGAATGATGTTTTACAAAGTTTGTCTTGTAACATTGGATTAGGTCATGACACTGTGCATTTTCAAATCTCAGTCTAAAGTATGTAGCCTCTTGATATGGTGGATGTCAGGGTATTAAGTGAACAGAGTGGGCTCGTCCGGGATTTGAACCCCGGACCTCTCGCACCCAAAGCGAGAATCATACGCCTAGACCAACGAGCCAAAATCTGGGCTGAGAAAATGATGGAGCAACTCTGGGGGTGGAATGAAAACAGCTCCTCAGTCCTCTAAATCAACGCAAAAGACTTTTGCGCGCTCAACTGCTCATTATGCACTTCCAACGCTACTACTGTATGAAATGTGTCCGTAATTTGCGTATCTGGTCTAAGATCATGCATTCGTCCTGCTTTTTGCCTGAAAAGGTGCTCACAGCATGCTGATCAGGACAGATATTTGCCAGAAAATGATTGTGTTTTCCAGAGAAACATATTTCATGGAGACCCTGTAGAGGCCTTCATTTTTGTGCCCCACATGATAAATGTACACAGACAAAGATTTAAGTCCCATTTCAACAGGTGGGGGCTCGTCCGGGATTTGAACCCGGGACCTCTCACACCCGAAGCAAGAATCATGCCCCTAGACCAACGAGCCACCAGAGGCTGGTTTGCAGGGGGACAAAATGGACCAATATCCGTTTGGACAAAAGGCATGAAGTTGAAGATGATTTTGACATTGGAAAGTTTGCCAGCCAGCATTGTTATAAGTTGCAGACAATTTGATGGTTGGGTGGGACTGACAGAGAGGCACTTGGGAGACATGCACTTGTGCATCTGACTGTTGAACCCGTTTGTGCCAATGACCTCCTACTCCTTCCACATGTGACGGGCTCGTCCGGGATTTGAACCCGGGACCTCTCGCACCCTAAGCGAGAATCATACCCCTAGACCAGGGTTCGGCAACCTGCGGCTCTGGAGCCGCATGCGGCTCTTTCTTCCCTAAGCTGCGGCTCCCAGTGGATTTGGAAAATAAATAATAAATACTTAATTGCATTTTATTTTATTTTATTATTATTATTATTATTTTGTAATTCTAAATTCAAAGATTATAATGCTCTTGTAACATTAAATAAACTATTAAGGCTGCAACAACGAATCGATTAAGTAGATTCGTCGTGACGAAAAAATCCGTTGCCAACAAATTCTGTAATCGATTCGTCGGGTCTTTATATATGTCCATGGACACCGGCGTGTAAACATCAGCAGGACGCACAGAAAAGAAACAGCCATGGCCGAGGCAGCGGCTGAGAAAAACATGGCCACAACCCAACCCAAATCCCGACCTAAAACATCAGTGGTGTGGGAAAACTTCACCAAGACTGAAAAGGAAGGCGTTCAGTGCAACATTTGCAAAGACCGTTTTGCATGGCTCGGGAGTACATCGATGATGCGTGAGCACAGGGCTCTCAAGTCTCACGCATTCAGCGTATGACACACGCATTCCCACTCGTTCACACGCTCACACACCACACATTGTATTTCTCACGCATTTAAATGAACACGGTGATGTCCACCAAGTTGCACTTCTTCAACTTTGGAACTGGGGGAAATCAACTGAGTTCCTCCGAGAGTTCAGAAGCTGCGTGCCACGCACAAGCCAATCAAATAAAGTATATCTACTGAACAGCCAATCAAAAAGCAGCATTGCTGTATCCGGGTAGATTTTGATATCTTGCGGTTTAACTACTGAAGAAGACAGACACTCGCCGAAATAGTTCATTTATTTCATAAATGCAACTCGCTACAGTTTTTTATATACTTTGTATAAAGGTTAAAAAAAAAGATATATGCAATGTTATCTTCATTTTAGATGCTAAAGAGGTTTTGTGGCTCCCTGTGTTTTCTTTTCTGTGGGAAACTGGTCCAAGTGGCTCTTTGAGTGTTTAAGGTTGCCGACCCCTGCCCTAGACCAACGAGCCACACTCTCTCGCAACAAAGACAACTCTAGCAGAGTTCCATTTGATCCAAAATCCTCACGCAGACCCCTAGCTTTCACTTTCAAAGTCTTGGCTTACTGAAATGCAAACTGAAAGGGTTCACACACAGCTGCAAATGAGAAAAAGGAGGCTTGGATCTGCACTAAATCATCAACGTGGATGCACACAGCTACAGGCTAAGAGCCCGTTGCTTAAGCCAAGAGCAACATTTGACCCATTTTGGTACCCAGACATGTCCTCTATCACATCCATGGCATCGTCACACTTGGACCTTTGTGAGAGGATCGTTCTTTAACGACCCCTTGGCTGGGATCATTTGGATCGTTAGGATATATGCCAAGACAAACAATAGCACTCTGATGCTACGACAAGTGTGAAGCGATCGTCTGGGAGAAGTGGTTGCAGCTCTACTCATATTGAAAGCAGGTGCCTTTGCTTTGCAACATGACGCCACTGTACCTTGTCCAGGCATTTGACTAGCTTAATTCTGAGAGTTTTGTCCATCTTTCAGCACCAGGTGGGTTGACCCTTTCTTCCAATCCAAGGAATGATGTTTTACAAAGTTTGTCTTGTAACATTGGATTAGGTCATGGCACTGTGCATTTTCAAATCTCAGTCTAAAGTATGTGGCCTCTTGACATGGTGGATGTCAGGGTATTAAGTGAACAGAGTGGGCTCGTCCGGGATTTGAACCCGGGACCTCTCGCACCCAAAGCGAGAATCATACCCCTAGACCAACGAGCCACAATCTGGGCTGAGAAAATGATGGAGCAACTCTGGGGGTGGAATGAAAACAGCTCCTCAGTCCTCTAAATCAACGCAAAAGACTTTTGCGCGCTCAACTGCTCATTATGCACTTCCAACGCTACAACTGTATGAAATGTGTCCGTAATTTGCGTATCTGGTCTAAGATCATGCATTCGTCCTGCTTTTTGCCTGAAAAGGTGCTCACAGCATGCTGATCAGGACAGATATTTGCCAGAAAATGATTGTGTTTTCCAGAGAAACATATTTCATGGAGACCCTGTCGAGGCCTTCATTTTTGTGCCCCACATGATAAATGTACACAGACAAAGATTTAAGTCCCATTTCAACAGGTGGGGGCTCATCCGGGATTTGAACCCGGGACCTCTCACACCCGAAGCAAGAATCATGCCCCTAGACCAACGAGCCACCAGAGGCTGGTTTGCAGGGGGACAAAATGGACCAATATCCGTTTGGACAAAAGGCATGAAGTTGAAGATGATTTTGACATTGGAAAGTTTGCCAGCCAGCATTGTTATAAGTTGCAGACAATTTGATGGTTGGGTGGGACTGACAGAGAGGCACTTGGGAGACATGCACTTGTGCATCTGACTGTTGAAACCGTTTGTGCCAATGACCTCCTACTCCTTCCACATGTGACGGGCTCGTCCGGGATTTGAACCCGGGACCTCTCGCACCCTAAGCGAGAATCATACCCCTAGACCAACGAGCCACACTCTCTCGCAACAAAGACAACTCTAGCAGAGTTCCATTTGATCCAAAATCCTCACGCAGACCCCTAGCTTTCACTTTCAAAGTCTTGGCTTACTGAAATGCAAACTGAAAGGGTTCACACACAGCTGCAAATGAGAAAAAGGAGGCTTGGATCTGCACTAAATCATCAACGTGGATGCACACAGCTACAGGCTAAGAGCCCGTTGCTTAAGCCAAGAGCAACATTTGACCCATTTTGGTACCCAGACATGTCCTCTATCACATCCATGGCATCGTCACACTTGGACCTTTGTGAGAGGATCGTACTTTAACGACCCCTTGGCTGGGATCATTTGGAGCGTTAGGATATATGCCAAGACAAACAATAGCACTCTGATGCTACGACAAGTGTGAAGCGATCGTCTGGGAGAAGTGGTTGCAGCTCTACTCATATTGAAAGCAGGTGCCTTTGCTTTGCAACATGACGCCACTGTACCTTGTCCAGGCATTTGACTAGCTTAATTCTGAGAGTTTTGTCCATCTTTCAGCACCAGGTGGGTTGACCCTTTCTTCCAATCCAAGGAATGATGTTTTACAAAGTTTGTCTTGTAACATTGGATTAGGTCATGACACTGTGCATTTTCAAATCTCAGTCTAAAGTATGTAGCCTCTTGACATGGTGGATGTCAGGGTATTAAGTGAACAGAGTGGGCTCGTCCGGGATTTGAACCCGGGACCTCTCGCAACCAAAGCGAGAATCATACCCCTAGACCAACGAGCCACAATCTGGGCTGAGAAAATGATGGAGCAACTCTGGGGGTGGAATGAAAACAGCTCCTCAGTCCTCTAAATCAACGCAAAAGACTTTTGCGCGCTCAACTGCTCATTATGCACTTCCAACGCTACAACTGTATGAAATGTGTCCGTAATTTGCGTATCTGGTCTAAGATCATGCATTCGTCCTGCTTTTTGCCTGAAAAGGTGCTCACAGCATGCTGATCAGGACAGATATTTGCCAGAAAATGATTGTGTTTTCCAGAGAAACATATTTCATGGAGACCCTGTAGAGGCCTTCATTTTTGTGCCCCACATGATAAATGTACACAGACAAAGATTTAAGTCCCATTTCAACAGGTGGGGGCTCGTCCGGGATTTGAACCCGGGACCTCTCACACCCGAAGCAAGAATCATGCCCCTAGACCAACGAGCCACCAGAGGCTGGTTTGCAGGGGGACAAAATGGACCAATATCCGTTTGGACAAAAGGCATGAAGTTGAAGATGATTTTGACGCTGGAAAGTTTGCCAGCCAGCATTGTTATAAGTTGCAGACAATTTGATGGTTGGGTGGGACTGACAGAGAGGCACTTGGGAGACATGCACTTGTGCATCTGACTGTTGAAACCGTTTGTGCCAATGACCTCCTACTCCTTCCACATGTGACGGGCTCGTCCGGGATTTGAACCCGGGACCTCTCGCACCCTAAGCGAGAATCATACCCCTAGACCAACGAGCCACACTCTCTTGCAATAAAGACAACTCTAGCACAGTTCTGTTTGATCCAAAATCCTCACGCAGACCCCTAGCTTTCACTTTCAAAGTCTTGGCTTACTGAAATGCAAACTGAAAGGGTTCACACACAGCTGCAAATGAGAAAAAGGAGGCTTGGATCTGCACTAAATCATCAACGTGGATGCACACAGCTACAGGCTAAGAGCCCGTTGCTTAAGCCAAGAGCAACATTTGACCCATTTTGGTACCCAGACATGTCCTCTATCACATCCATGGCATCGTCACACTTGGACCTTTGTGAGAGGATCGTACTTTAACGACCCCTTGGCTGGGATCATTTGGAGCGTTAGGATATATGCCAAGACAAACAATAGCACTCTGATGCTACGACAAGTGTGAAGCGATCGTCTGGGAGAAGTGGTTGCAGCTCTACTCATATTGAAAGCAGGTGCCTTTGCTTTGCAACATGACGCCACTGTACCTTGTCCAGGCATTTGACTAGCTTAATTCTGAGAGTTTTGTCCATCTTTCAGCACCAGGTGGGTTGACCCTTTCTTCCAATCCAAGGAATGATGTTTTACAAAGTTTGTCTTGTAACATTGGATTAGGTCATGGCACTGTGCATTTTCAAATCTCAGTCTAAAGTATGTGGCCTCTTGACATGGTGGATGTCAGGGTATTAAGTGAACAGAGTGGGCTCGTCCGGGTTTTGAACCCGGGACCTCTCGCACCCAAAGCGAGAATCATACCCCTAGACCAACGAGCCACAATCTGGGCTGAGAAAATGATGGAGCAACTCTGGGGGTGGAATGAAAACAGCTCCTCAGTCCTCTAAATCAACGCAAAAGACTTTTGCGCGCTCAACTGCTCATTATGCACTTCCAACGCTACAACTGTATGAAATGTGTCCGTAATTTGCGTATCTGGTCTAAGATCATGCATTCGTCCTGCTTTTTGCCTGAAAAGGTGCTCACAGCATGCTGATCAGGACAGATATTTGCCAGAAAATGATTGTGTTTTCCAGAGAAACATATTTCATGGAGACCCTGTAGAGGCCTTCATTTTTGTGCCCCACATGATAAATGTACACAGACAAAGATTTAAGTCCCATTTCAACAGGTGGGGGCTCGTCCGGGATTTGAACCCGGGACCTCTCACACCCGAAGCAAGAATCATGCCCCTAGACCAACGAGCCACCAGAGGCTGGTTTGCAGGGGAACAAAATGGACCAATATCCGTTTGGACAAAAGGCATGAAGTTGAAGATGATTTTGACGCTGGAAAGTTTGCCAGCCAGCATTGTTATAAGTTGCAGACAATTTGATGGTTGGGTGGGACTGACAGAGAGGCACTTGGGAGACATGCACTTGTGCATCTGACTGTTGAAACCGTTTGTGCCAATGACCTCCTACTCCTTCCACATGTGACGGGCTCGTCCGGGATTTGAACCCGGGACCTCTCGCACCCTAAGCGAGAATCATACCCCTAGACCAACGAGCCACAGTCTCTCGCAACAAAGACAACTCTAGCACAGTTCCGTTTGATCCAAAATCCTCACGCAGACCCCTAGCTTTCACTTTCAAAGTCTTGGCTTACTGAAATGCAAACTGAAAGGGTTCACACACAGCTGCAAATGAGAAAAAGGAGGCTTGGATCTGCACTAAATCATCAACGTGGATGCACACAGCTACAGGCTAAGAGCCCGTTGCTTAAGCCAAGAGCAACATTTGACCCATTTTGGTACCCAGACATGTCCTCTATCACATCCATGGCATCGTCACACTTGGACCTTTGTGAGAGGATCGTACTTTAACGACCCCTTGGCTGGGATCATTTGGAGCGTTAGGATATATGCCAAGACAAACAATAGCACTCTGATGCTACGACAAGTGTGAAGCGATCGTCTGGGAGAAGTGGTTGCAGCTCTACTCATATTGAAAGCAGGTGCCTTTGCTTTGCAACATGACGCCACTGTACCTTGTCCAGGCATTTGACTAGCTTAATTCTGAGAGTTTTGTCCATCTTTCAGCACCAGGTGGGTTGACCCTTTCTTCCAATCCAAGGAATGATGTTTTACAAAGTTTGTCTTGTAACATTGGATTAGGTCATGACACTGTGCATTTTCAAATCTCAGTCTAAAGTATGTGGCCTCTTGACATGGTGGATGTCAGGGTATTAAGTGAACAGAGTGGGCTCGTCCGGGATTTGAACCCGAGACCTCTTGCACCCAAAGCAAGAATCATACCCCTAGACCAACGAGCCACAATCTGGGCTGAGAAAATGATGGAGCAACTCTGGGGGTGGAATGAAAACAGCTCCTCAGTCCTCTAAATCAACGCAAAAGACTTTTGCGCGCTCAACTGCTCATTATGCACTTCCAACGCTACAACTGTATGAAATGTGTCCGTAATTTGCGTATCTGGTCTAAGATCATGCATTCGTCCTGCTTTTTGCCTGAAAAGGTGCTCACAGCATGCTGATCAGGACAGATATTTGCCAGAAAATGATTGTGTTTTCCAGAGAAACATATTTCATGGAGACCCTGTCGAGGCCTTCATTTTTGTGCCCCACATGATAAATGTACACAGACAAAGATTTAAGTCCCATTTCAACAGGTGGGGGCTCGTCCGGGATTTGAACCCGGGACCTCTCACACCCGAAGCAAGAATCATGCCCCTAGACCAACGAGCCACCAGAGGCTGGTTTGCAGGGGAACAAAATGGACCAATATCCGTTTGGACAAAAGGCATGAAGTTGAAGATGATTTTGACGCTGGAAAGTTTGCCAGCCAGCATTGTTATAAGTTGCAGACAATTTGATGGTTGGGTGGGACTGACAGAGAGGCACTTGGGAGACATGCACTTGTGCATCTGACTGTTGAAACCGTTTGTGCCAATGACCTCCTACTCCTTCCACATGTGACGGGCTCGTCCGGGATTTGAACCCGGGACCTCTCGCACCCGAAGCGAGAATCATACCCCTAGACCAACGAGCCACACTCTCTCGCAACAAAGACAACTCTAGCACAGTTCCATTTGATCCAAAATCCTCACGCAGACCCCTAGCTTTCACTTTCAAAGTCTTGGCTTACTGAAATGCAAACTGAAAGGGTTCACACACAGCTGCAAATGAGAAAAAGGAGGCTTGGATCTGCACTAAATCCTCAACGTGGATGCACACAGCTACAGGCTAAGAGCCCGTTGCTTAAGCCAAGAGCAACATTTGACCCATTTTGGTACCCAGACATGTCCTCTATCACATCCATGGCATCGTCACACTTGGACCTTTGTGAGAGGATCGTACTTTAACGACCCCTTGGCTGGGATCATTTGGAGCGTTAGGATATATGCCAAGACAAACAATAGCACTCTGATGCTACGACAAGTGTGAAGCGATCGTCTGGGAGAAGTGGTTGCAGCTCTACTCATATTGAAAGCAGGTGCCTTTGCTTTGCAACATGACGCCACTGTACCTTGTCCAGGCATTTGACTAGCTTAATTCTGAGAGTTTTGTCCATCTTTCAGCACCAGGTGGGTTGACCCTTTCTTCCAATCCAAGGAATGATGTTTTACAAAGTTTGTCTTGTAACATTGGATTAGGTCATGACACTGTGCATTTTCAAATCTCAGTCTAAAGTATGTGGCCTCTTGACATGGTGGATGTCAGGGTATTAAGTGAACAGAGTGGGCTCGTCCGGGATTTGAACCCGGGACCTCTCGCACCCAAAGCGAGAATCATACCCCTAGACCAACGAGCCACAATCTGGGCTGAGAAAATGATGGAGCAACTCTGGGGGTGGAATGAAAACAGCTCCTCAGTCCTCTAAATCAACGCAAAAGACTTTTGCGCACTCAACTGCTCATTATGCACTTCCAACGCTACAACTGTATGAAATGTGTCCGTAATTTGCGTATCTGGTCTAAGATCATGCATTCGTCCTGCTTTTTGCCTGAAAAGGTGCTCACAGCATGCTGATCAGGACAGATATTTGCCAGAAAATGATTGTGTTTTCCAGAGAAACATATTTCATGGAGACCCTGTCGAGGCCTTCATTTTTGTGCCCCACATGATAAATGTACACAGACAAAGATTTAAGTCCCATTTCAACAGGTGGGGGCTCGTCCGGGATTTGAACCCGGGACCTCTCACACCCGAAGCAAGAATCATGCCCCTAGACCAACGAGCCACCAGAGGCTGGTTTGCAGGGGGACAAAATGGACCAATATCCGTTTGGACAAAAGGCATGAAGTTGAAGATGATTTTGACACTGCAAAGTTTGCCAGCCAGCATTGTTATAAGTTGCAGACAATTTGATGGTTGGGTGGGACTGACAGAGAGGCACTTGGGAGACATGCACTTGTGCATCTGACTGTTGAAACCGTTTGTGCCAATGACCTCCTACTCCTTCCACATGTGACGGGCTCGTCCGGGATTTGAACCCGGGACCTCTCGCACCCTAAGCGAGAATCATACCCCTAGACCAACGAGCCACACTCTCTCGCAACAAAGACAACTCTAGCAGAGTTCCATTTGATCCAAAATCCTCACGCAGACCCCTAGCTTTCACTTTCAAAGTCTTGGCTTACTGAAATGCAAACTGAAAGGGTTCACACACAGCTGCAAATGAGAAAAAGGAGGCTTGGATCTGCACTAAATCATCAACGTGGATGCACACAGCTACAGGCTAAGAGCCCGTTGCTTAAGCCAAGAGCAACATTTGACCCATTTTGGTACCCAGACATGTCCTCTATCACATCCATGGCATCGTCACACTTGGACCTTTGTGAGAGGATCGTACTTTAACGACCCCTTGGCTGGGATCATTTGGAGCGTTAGGATATATGCCAAGACAAACAATAGCACTCTGATGCTACGACAAGTGTGAAGCGATCGTCTGGGAGAAGTGGTTGCAGCTCTACTCATATTGAAAGCAGGTGCCTTTGCTTTGCAACATGACGCCACTGTACCTTGTCCAGGCATTTGACTAGCTTAATTCTGAGAGTTTTGTCCATCTTTCAGCACCAGGTGGGTTGACCCTTTCTTCCAATCCAAGGAATGATGTTTTACAAAGTTTGTCTTGTAACATTGGATTAGGTCATGACACTGTGCATTTTCAAATCTCAGTCTAAAGTATGTGGCCTCTTGACATGGTGGATATCAGGGTATTAAGTGAACAGAGTGGGCTCGTCCGGGATTTGAACGCGGGACCTCTCGCACCCAAAGCGAGAATCATACCCCTAGACCAACGAGCCACAATCTGGGCTGAGAAAATGATGGAGCAACTCTGGGGGTGGAATGAAAACAGCTCCTCAGTCCTCTAAATCAACGCAAAAGACTTTTGCGCGCTCAACTGCTTATTACGCACTTCCAACGCTACAACTGTATGAAATGTGTCCGTAATTTGCGTATCTGGTCTAAGATCATGCATTCGTCCTGCTTTTTGCCTGAAAAGGTGCTCACAGCATGCTGATCAGGACAGATATTTGCCAGAAAATGATTGTGTTTTCCAGAGAAACATATTTCATGGAGACCCTGTAGAGGCCTTCATTTTTGTGCCCCACATGATAAATGTACACAGACAAAGATTTAAGTCCCATTTCAACAGGTGGGGGCTCGTCCGGGATTTGAACCCGGGACCTCTCACACCCGAAGCAAGAATCATGCCCCTAGACCAACGAGCCACCAGAGGCTGGTTTGCAGGGGGACAAAATGGACCAATATCCGTTTGGACAAAAGGCATGAAGTTGAAGATGATTTTGACGCTGGAAAGTTTGCCAGCCAGCATTGTTATAAGTTGCAGACAATTTGATGGTTGGGTGGGACTGACAGAGAGGCACTTGGGAGACATGCACTTGTGCATCTGACTGTTGAAACCGTTTGTGCCAATGACCTCCTACTCCTTCCACATGTGACGGGCTCGTGCGGGATTTGAACCCGGGACCTCTCGCACCCTAAGCGAGAATCATACCCCTAGACCAACGAGCCACAATCTCTCGCAACAAAGACAACTCTAGCACAGTTCCGTTTGATCCAAAATCCTCACGCAGACCCCTAGCTTTCACTTTCAAAGTCTTGGCTTACTGAAATGCAAACTGAAAGGGTTCACACACAGCTGCAAATGAGAAAAAGGAGGCTTGGATCTGCACTAAATCCTCAACGTGGATGCACACAGCTACAGGCTAAGAGCCCGTTGCTTAAGCCAAGAGCAACATTTGACCCATTTTGGTACCCAGACATGTCCTCTATCACATCCATGGCATCGTCACACTTGGACCTTTGTGAGAGGATCGTACTTTAACGACCCCTTGGCTGGGATCATTTGGAGCGTTAGGATATATGCCAAGACAAACAATAGCACTCTGATGCTACGACAAGTGTGAAGCGATCGTCTGGGAGAAGTGGTTGCAGCTCTACTCATATTGAAAGCAGGTGCCTTTGCTTTGCAACATGACGCCACTGTACCTTGTCCAGGCATTTGACTAGCTTAATTCTGAGAGTTTTGTCCATCTTTCAGCACCAGGTGGGTTGACCCTTTCTTCCAATCCAAGGAATGATGTTTTACAAAGTTTGTCTTGTAACATTGGATTAGGTCATGACACTGTGCATTTTCAAATCTCAGTCTAAAGTATGTGGCCTCTTGACATGGTGGATGTCAGGGTATTAAGTGAACAGAGTGGGCTCGTCCGGGATTTGAATCTGGGACCTCTCGCACCCAAAGCGAGAATCATACCCCTAGACCAACGAGCCACAATCTGGGCTGAGAAAATGATGGAGCAACTCTGGGGGTGGAATGAAAACAGCTCCTCAGTCCTCTAAATCAACGCAAAAGACTTTTGCGCGCTCAACTGCTCATTATGCACTTCCAACGCTACAACTGTATGAAATGTGTCCGTAATTTGCGTATCTGGTCTAAGATCATGCATTCGTCCTGCTTTTTGCCTGAAAAGATGCTCACAGCATGCTGATCAGGACAGATATTTGCCAGAAAATGATTGTGTTTTCCAGAGAAACATATTTCATGGAGACCCTGTAGAGGCCTTCATTTTTGTGCCCCACATGATAAATGTACACAGACAAAGATTTAAGTCCCATTTCAACAGGTGGGGGCTCGTCCGGGATTTGAAGCCGGGACCTCTCACACCCGAAGCAAGAATCATGCCCCTAGACCAACGAGCCACCAGAGGCTGGTTTGCAGGGGGACAAAATGGACCAATATCCGTTTGGACAAAAGGCATGAAGTTGAAGATGATTTTGACGCTGGAAAGTTTGCCAGCCAGCATTGTTATAAGTTGCAGACAATTTGATGGTTGGGTGGGACTGACAGAGAGGCACTTGGGAGACATGCACTTGTGCATCTGACTGTTGAAACCGTTTGTGCCAATGACCTCCTACTCCTTCCACATGTGACGGGCTCGTCCGGGATTTGAACCCGGGACCTCTCGCACCCGAAGCGAGAATCATACCCCTAGACCAACGAGCCACACTCTCTCGCAACAAAGACAACTCTAGCACAGTTCCATTTGATCCAAAATCCTCACGCAGACCCCTAGCTTTCACTTTCAAAGTCTTGGCTTACTGAAATGCAAACTGAAAGGGTTCACACACAGCTGCAAATGAGAAAAAGGAGGCTTGGATCTGCACTAAATCATCAAAGTGGATGCACACAGCTACAGGCTAAGAGCCCGTTGCTTAAGCCAAGAGCAACATTTGACCCATTTTGGTACCCAGACATGTCCTCTATCACATCCATGGCATCGTCACACTTGGACCTTTGTGAGAGGATCGTACTTTAACGACCCCTTGGCTGGGATCATTTGGAGCGTTAGGATATATGCCAAGACAAACAATAGCACTCTGATGCTACGACAAGTGTGAAGCGATCGTCTGGGAGAAGTGGTTGCAGCTCTACTCATATTGAAAGTAGGTGCCTTTGCTTTGCAACATGACGCCACTGTACCTTGTCCAGGCATTTGACTACCTTAATTCTGAGAGTTTTGTCCATCTTTCAGCACCAGGTGGGTTGACCCTTTCTTCCAATCCAAGGAATGATGTTTTACAAAGTTTGTCTTGTAACATTGGATTAGGTCATGACACTGTGCATTTTCAAATCTCAGTCTAAAGTATGTGGCCTCTTGACATGGTGGATGTCAGGGTATTAAGTGAACAGAGTGGGCTCGTCCGGGATTTGAACCCGGGACCTCTCGCACCCAAAGCGAGAATCATACCCCTAGACCAACGAGCCACAATCTGGGCTGAGAAAATGATGGAGCAACTCTGGGGGTGGAATGAAAACAGCTCCTCAGTCCTCTAAATCAACGCAAAAGACTTTTGCGCGCTCAACTGCTCATTATGCACTTCCAACGCTACAACTGTATGAAATGTGTCCGTAATTTGCGTATCTGGTCTGAGATTATGCATTCGTCCTGCTTTTTGCCTGAAAAGGTGCTCACAGCATGCTGATCAGGACAGATATTTGCCAGAAAATGATTGTGTTTTCCAGAGAAACATATTTCATGGAGACCCTGTAGAGGCCTTCATTTTTGTGCCCCACATGATAAATGTACACAGACAAAGATTTAAGTCCCATTTCAACAGGTGGGGGCTCATCCGGGATTTGAACCCGGGACCTCTCACACCCGAAGCAAGAATCATGCCCCTAGACCAACGAGCCACCAGAGGCTGGTTTGCAGGGGGACAAAATGGACCGATATCTTTTTGGACAAAAGGCATGAAGTTGAAGATGATTTTGACACTGGAAAGTTTGCCAGCCAGCATTGTTATAAGTTGCAGACAATTTGATGGTTGGGTGGGACTGACAGAGAGGCACTTGGGAGACATGCACTTGTGCATCTGACTGTTGAAACCGTTTGTGCCAATGACCTCCTACTCCTTCCACATGTGACGGGCTCGTCCGGGATTTGAACCCGGGACCTCTCGCACCCTAAGCGAGAATCATACCCCTAGACCAACGAGCCACACTCTCTCGCAACAAAGACAACTCTAGCAGAGTTCCATTTGATCCAAAATCCTCACGCAGACCCCTAGCTTTCACTTTCAAAGTCTTGGCTTACTGAAATGCAAACTGAAAGGGTTCACACACAGCTGCAAATGAGAAAAAGGAGGCTTGGATCTGTACTAAATCATCAAAGTGGATGCACACAGCTACAGGCTAAGAGCCCGTTGCTTAAGCCAAGAGCAACATTTGACCCATTTTGGTACCCAGACATGTCCTCTATCACATCCATGGCATCGTCACACTTGGACCTTTGTGAGAGGATCGTACTTTAACGACCCCTTGGCTGGGATCATTTGGAGCGTTAGGATATATGCCAAGACAAACAATAGCACTCTGATGCTACGACAAGTGTGAAGCGATCGTCTGGGAGAAGTGGTTGCAGCTCTACTCATATTGAAAGCAGGTGCCTTTGCTTTGCAACATGACGCCACTGTACCTTGTCCAGGCATTTGACTAGCTTAATTCTGAGAGTTTTGTCCATCTTTCAGCACCAGGTGGGTTGACCCTTTCTTCCAATCCAAGGAATGATGTTTTACAAAGTTTGTCTTGTAACATTGGATTAGGTCATGACACTGTGCATTTTCAAATCTCAGTCTAAAGTATGTAGCCTCTTGACATGGTGGATGTCAGGGTATTAAGTGAACAGAGTGGGCTCGTCAGGGATTTGAACCCGGGACCTCTCGCACCCAAAGCGAGAATCATACCCCTAGACCAACGAGCCACAAATCTGGGCTGAGAAAATGATGGAGCAACTCTGGGGGTGGAATGAAAAAAGCTCCTCAGTCCTCTAAATCAACGCAAAAGACTTTTGCGCGCTCAACTGCTCATTATGCACTTCCAACGCTACAACTGTATGAAATGTGTCCGTAATTTGCGTATCTGGTCTGAGATTATGCATTCGTCCTGCTTTTTGCCTGAAAAGGGGCTCACAGCATGCTGATCAGGACAGATATTTGCCAGAAAATGATTGTGTTTTCCAGAGAAACATATTTCATGGAGACCCTGTAGAGGCCTTCATTTTTGTGCCCCACATGATAAATGTACACAGACAAAGATTTAAGTCCCATTTCAACAGGTGGGGGCTCATCCGGGATTTGAACCCGGGACCTCTCACACCCGAAGCAAGAATCATGCCCCTAGACCAACGAGCCACCAGAGGCTGGTTTGCAGGGGGACAAAATGGACCGATATCTTTTTGGACAAAAGGCATGAAGTTGAAGATGATTTTGACACTGGAAAGTTTGCCAGCCAGCATTGTTATAAGTTGCAGACAATTTGATGGTTGGGTGGGACTGACAGAGAGGCACTTGGGAGACATGCACTTGTGCATCTGACTGTTGAAACCGTTTGTGCCAATGACCTCCTACTCCTTCCACATATGACGGGCTCGTCCGGGATTTGAACCCGGGACCTCTCGCACCCTAAGCGAGAATCATACCCCTAGACCAACGAGCCACACTCTCTCGCAACAAAGACAACTCTAGCAGAGTTCCATTTGATCCAAAATCCTCACGCAGACCCCTAGCTTTCACTTTCAAAGTCTTGGCTTACTGAAATGCAAACTGAAAGGGTTCACACACAGCTGCAAATGAGAAAAAGGAGGCTTGGATCTGTACTAAATCATCAAAGTGGATGCACACAGCTACAGGCTAAGAGCCCGTTGCTTAAGCCAAGAGCAACATTTGACCCATTTTGGTACCCAGACATGTCCTCTATCACATCCATGGCATCGTCACACTTGGACCTTTGTGAGAGGATCGTTCTTTAACGACCCCTTGGCTGGGATCATTTGGATCGTTAGGCTATATGCCAAGACAAACAATAGCACTCTGATGCTACGACAAGTGTGAAGCGATCGTCTGGGAGAAGTGGTTGCAGCTCTACTCATATTGAAAGCAGGTGCCTTTGCTTTGCAACATGACGCCACTGTACCTTGTCCAGGCATTTGACTACCTTAATTCTGAGAGTTTTGTCCATCTTTCAGCACCAGGTGGGTTGACCCTTTCTTCCAATCCAAGGAATGATGTTTTACAAAGTTTGTCTTGTAACATTGGATTAGGTCATGACACTGTGCATTTTCAAATCTCAGTCTAAAGTATGTAGCCTCTTGACATGGTGGATGTCAGGGTATTAAGTGAACAGAGTGGGCTCGTCCGGGATTTGAACCCGGGACCTCTCGCACCCAAAGCGAGAATCATACCCCTAGACCAACGAGCCACAATCTGGGCTGAGAAAATGATGGAGCAACTCTGGGGGTGGAATGAAAAAAGCTCCTCAGTCCTCTAAATCAACGCAAAAGACTTTTGCGCGCTCAACTGCTCATTATGCACTTCCAACGCTACAACTGTATGAAATGTGTCCGTAATTTGCGTATCTGGTCTGAGATTATGCATTCGTCCTGCTTTTTGCCTGAAAAGGTGCTCACAGCATGCTGATCAGGACAGATATTTGCCAGAAAATGATTGTGTTTTCCAGAGAAACATATTTCATGGAGACCCTGTAGAGGCCTTCATTTTTGTGCCCCACATGATAAATGTACACAGACAAAGATTTAAGTCCCATTTCAACAGGTGGGGGCTCGTCCGGGATTTGAACCCGGGACCTCTCACACCCGAAGCAAGAATCATGCCCCTAGACCAACGAGCCACCAGAGGCTGGTTTGCAGGGGGACAAAATGGACCAATATCCGTTTGGACAAAAGGCATGAAGTTGAAGATGATTTTGACACTGGAAAGTTTGCCAGCCAGCATTGTTATAAGTTGCAGACAATTTGATGGTTGGGTGGGACTGACAGAGAGGCACTTGGGAGACATGCACTTGTGCATCTGACTGTTGAAACCGTTTGTGCCAATGACCTCCTACTCCTTCCACATGTGACGGGCTCGTCCGGGATTTGAACCCGGGACCTCTCGCACCCTAAGCGAGAATCATACCCCTAGACCAACGAGCCACACTCTCTCGCAACAAAGACAACTCTAGCAGAGTTCCATTTGATCCAAAATCCTCACGCAGACCCCTAGCTTTCACTTTCAAAGTCTTGGCTTACTGAAATGCAAACTGAAAGGGTTCACACACAGCTGCAAATGAGAAAAAGGAGGCTTGGATCTGTACTAAATCATCAAAGTGGATGCACACAGCTACAGGCTAAGAGCCCGTTGCTTAAGCCAAGAGCAACATTTGACCCATTTTGGTACCCAGACATGTCCTCTATCACATCCATGGCATCGTCACACTTGGACCTTTGTGAGAGGATCGTTCTTTAACGACCCCTTGGCTGGGATCATTTGGATCGTTAGGCTATATGCCAAGACAAACAATAGCACTCTGATGCTACGACAAGTGTGAAGCGATCGTCTGGGAGAAGTGGTTGCAGCTCTACTCATATTGAAAGCAGGTGCCTTTGCTTTGCAACATGACGCCACTGTACCTTGTCCAGGCATTTGACTACCTTAATTCTGAGAGTTTTGTCCATCTTTCAGCACCAGGTGGGTTGACCCTTTCTTCCAATCCAAGGAATGATGTTTTACAAAGTTTGTCTTGTAACATTGGATTAGGTCATGACACTGTGCATTTTCAAATCTCAGTCTAAAGTATGTAGCCTCTTGACATGGTGGATGTCAGGGTATTAAGTGAACAGAGTGGGCTCGTCCGGGATTTGAACCCGGGACCTCTCGCACCCAAAGCGAGAATCATACCCCTAGACCAACGAGCCACAATCTGGGCTGAGAAAATGATGGAGCAACTCTGGGGGTGGAATGAAAACAGCTCCTCAGTCCTCTAAATCAACGCAAAAGACTTTTGCGCGCTCAACTGCTCATTATGCACTTCCAACGCTACAACTGTATGAAATGTGTCCGTAATTTGCGTATCTGGTCTGAGATTATGCATTCGTCCTGCTTTTTGCCTGAAAAGGTGCTCACAGCATGCTGATCAGGACAGATATTTGCCAGAAAATGATTGTGTTTTCCAGAGAAACATATTTCATGGAGACCCTGTAGAGGCCTTCATTTTTGTGCCCCACATGATAAATGTACACAGACAAAGATTTAAGTCCCATTTCAACAGGTGGGGGCTCGTCCGGGATTTGAACCCGGGACCTCTCACACCCGAAGCAAGAATCATGCCCCTAGACCAACGAGCCACCAGAGGCTGGTTTGCAGGGGGACAAAATGGACCGATATCTTTTTGGACAAAAGGCATGAAGTTGAAGATGATTTTGACACTGGAAAGTTTGCCAGCCAGCATTGTTATAAGTTGCAGACAATTTGATGGTTGGGTGGGACTGACAGAGAGGCACTTGGGAGACATGCACTTGTGCATCTGACTGTTGAAACCGTTTGTGCCAATGACCTCCTACTCCTTCCACATGTGACGGGCTCGTCCGGGATTTGAACCCGGGACCTCTCGCACCCTAAGCGAGAATCATACCCCTAGACCAACGAGCCACAATCTTTCGCAACAAAGACAACTCTAGCAGAGATCCATTTGATCCAAAATCCTCACGCAGACCCCTAGCTTTCACTTTCAAAGTCTTGGATTACTGAAATGCAAACTGAAAGGGTTCACACACAGCTGCAAATGAGAAAAAGGAGGCTTGGATCTGTACTAAATCATCAAAGTGGATGCACACAGCTACAGGCTAAGAGCCCGTTGCTTAAACCAAGAGCAACATTTGACCCATTTTGGTACCCAGACATGTCCTCTATCACATCCATGGCATCGTCACACTTGGACCTTTGTGAGAGGATCGTTCTTTAACGACCCCTTGGCTGGGATCATTTGGATCGTTAGGCTATATGCCAAGACAAACAATAGCACTCTGATGCTACGACAAGTGTGAAGCGATCGTCTGGGAGAAGTGGTTGCAGCTCTACTCATATTGAAAGCAGGTGCCTTTGCTTTGCAACATGACGCCACTGTACCTTGTCCAGGCATTTGACTACCTTAATTCTGAGAGTTTTGTCCATCTTTCAGCACCAGGTGGGTTGACCCTTTCTTCCAATCCAAGGAATGATGTTTTACAAAGTTTGTCTTGTAACATTGGATTAGGTCATGACACTGTGCATTTTCAAATCTCAGTCTAAAGTATGTAGCCTCTTGACATGGTTGATGTCAGGGTATTAAGTGAACAGAGTGGGCTCGTCCGGGATTTGAACCCGGGACCTCTCGCACCCAAAGCGAGAATCATACCCCTAGACCAACGAGCCACAATCTGGGCTGAGAAAATGATGGAGCAACTCTGGGGGTGGAATGAAAAAAGCTCCTCAGTCCTCTAAATCAACGCAAAAGACTTTTGCGCGCTCAACTGCTCATTATGCACTTCCAACGCTACAACTGTATGAAATGTGTCCGTAATTTGCGTATCTGGTCTGAGATTATGCATTCGTCCTGCTTTTTGCCTGAAAAGGTGCTCACAGCATGCTGATCAGGACAGATATTTGCCAGAAAATGATTGTGTTTTCCAGAGAAACATATTTCATGGAGACCCTGTAGAGGCCTTCATTTTTGTGCCCCACATGATAAATGTACACAGACAAAGATTTAAGTCCCATTTCAAGAGGTGGGGGCTCGTCCGGGATTTGAACCCGGGACCTCTCACACCCGAAGCAAGAATCATGCCCCTAGACCAACGAGCCACCAGAGGCTGGTTTGCAGGGGGACAAAATGGACCAATATCCGTTTGGACAAAAGGCATGAAGTTGAAGATGATTTTGACACTGGAAAGTTTGCCAGCCAGCATTGTTATAAGTTGCAGACAATTTGATGGTTGGGTGGGACTGACAGAGAGGCACTTGGGAGACATGCACTTGTGCATCTGACTGTTGAAACCGTTTGTGCCAATGACCTCCTACTCCTTCCACATGTGACGGGCTCGTCCGGGATTTGAACCCGGGACCTCTCGCACCCTAAGCGAGAATCATACCCCTAGACCAACGAGCCACAATCTCTCGCAACAAAGACAACTCTAGCAGAGTTCCATTTGATCCAAAATCCTCACGCAGACCCCTAGCTTTCACTTTCAAAGTCTTGGCTTACTGAAATGCAAACTGAAAGGGTTCACACACAGCTGCAAATGAGAAAAAGGAGGCTTGGATCTGTACTAAATCATCAAAGTGGATGCACACAGCTACAGGCTAAGAGCCCGTTGCTTAAGCAAAGAGCAACATTTGACCCATTTTGGTACCCAGACATGTCCTCTATCACATCCATGGCATCGTCACACTTGGACCTTTGTGAGAGGATCGTTCTTTAACGACCCCTTGGCTGGGATCATTTGGATCGTTAGGCTATATGCCAAGACAAACAATAGCACTCTGATGCTACGACAAGTGTGAAGCGATCGTCTGGGAGAAGTGGTTGCAGCTCTACTCATATTGAAAGCAGGTGCCTTTGCTTTGCAACATGACGCCACTGTACCTTGTCCAGGCATTTGACTACCTTAATTCTGAGAGTTTTGTCCATCTTTCAGCACCAGGTGGGTTGACCCTTTCTTCCAATCCAAGGAATGATGTTTTACAAAGTTTGTCTTGTAACATTGGATTAGGTCATGACACTGTGCATTTTCAAATCTCAGTCTAAAGTATGTAGCCTCTTGACATGGTTGATGTCAGGGTATTAAGTGAACAGAGTGGGCTCGTCCGGGATTTGAACCCGGGACCTCTCGCACCCAAAGCGAGAATCATACCCCTAGACCAACGAGCCACAATCTGGGCTGAGAAAATGATGGAGCAACTCTGGGGGTGGAATGAAAAAGCTCCTCAGTCCTCTAAATCAACGCAAAAGACTTTTGCGCGCTCAACTGCTCATTATGCACTTCCAACGCTACAACTGTATGAAATGTGTCCGTAATTTGCGTATCTGGTCTGAGATTATGCATTCGTCCTGCTTTTTGCCTGAAAAGGTGCTCACAGCATGCTGATCAGGACAGATATTTGCCAGAAAATGATTGTGTTTTCCAGAGAAACATATTTCATGGAGACCCTGTAGAGGCCTTCATTTTTGTGCCCCACATGATAAATGTACACAGACAAAGATTTAAGTCCCATTTCAACAGGTGGGGGCTCGTCCGGGATTTGAACCCGGGACCTCTCACACCCGAAGCAAGAATCATGCCCCTAGACCAACGAGCCACCAGAGGCTGGTTTGCAGGGGGACAAAATGGACCAATATCCGTTTGGACAAAAGGCATGAAGTTGAAGATGATTTTGACACTGGAAAGTTTGCCAGCCAGCATTGTTATAAGTTGCAGACAATTTGATGGTTGGGTGGGACTGACAGAGAGGCACTTGGGAGACATGCGCTTGTGCATCTGACTGTTGAAACCGTTTGTGCCAATGACCTCCTACTCCTTCCACATGTGACGGGCTCGTCCGGGATTTGAACCCGGGACCTCTCGCACCCTAAGCGAGAATCATACCCCTAGACCAACGAGCCACAATCTCTCGCAACAAAGACAACTCTAGCAGAGTTCCATTTGATCCAAAATCCTCACGCAGACCCCTAGCTTTCACTTTCAAAGTCTTGGCTTACTGAAATGCAAACTGAAAGGGTTCACACACAGCTGCAAATGAGAAAAAGGAGGCTTGGATCTGTACTAAATCATCAAAGTGGATGCACACAGCTACAGGCTAAGAGCCCGTTGCTTAAGCAAAGAGCAACATTTGACCCATTTTGGTACCCAGACATGTCCTCTATCACATCCATGGCATCGTCACACTTGGACCTTTGTGAGAGGATCGTTCTTTAACGACCCCTTGGCTGGGATCATTTGGATCGTTAGGCTATATGCCAAGACAAACAATAGCACTCTGATGCTACGACAAGTGTGAAGCGATCGTCTGGGAGAAGTGGTTGCAGCT